GGTACCAGTAGCAGGAGAGCGGAGCTACAAGCTACAAACACTGAATAGAAGAAGAGCTGCCATCGATACCGTTGCAACCAAGCATGATCTAGTGTTGCACAATACAGTTTTACCAAGTTGCTCAAAGTCTAAACTGTTGTGCATATAAGGTGTATGTTTACCTTCTTCGACCAAACGCCCCGCAAAGGAATCCCAGCGCCCCCCTTTTGTAAAAGTGTCTGCCAGCGCCCCCTGTCGTCCTCAACGGTACCGCCCACGTTGAGAACCGCTAATCTAAAGGCACTAAAGATTTAGATTACAAAAAGCAGTGCCAAAACTTGAATAAACTGTTTATTTACCCACGCAAAAATATTGAACATGCAAAAACTATGTTTGTTACAGTGGCTTAAGACATGTTTTTCTAGTTACACAATTAGCATGTTTAGTTTAGCATAACTTAACTGCACCAACTTAAAGTGAAAATGATTGAACCATTATAAATTGCAAATTACTGTTTAATTTTCTCCTTTGTGAAGTTTGTTTTGTACCATAATCTGAGGTTGCTTTTTCTCTTCTATTTTTTTTTTACATAATATACATTAACCTGCCAAGTAGACTACAGATGAAAATTAGTCACTTGGTTATAATTGCATGTAAATGTTAAGTAACATGTAATGTCCCATTTGTTTTAACTTTTTTTTAAAAACTGAATCAGCAAGTATTTCTGCCAAAATGGTCGACCGCTCCGGCGGGTGTGGCCAGACATGGTGATCAATAAGATTTCAAGAGTAGACGGTGACGCCACTCGGCCCCGCCCATTAGGCAACCGCCGTGGCCACGCCCGTTCAGAGACTCGCCCCAACCGCCCCAGTTAGGCAGCTGGAAGACGTTTCAGAGAAATGCTCAGGAGTATTTTCTCCAAGAGGCTACTGTGAGAAACAAACCTTTCAGCTGCTGCTCTCTGCTCCAGTTCGGGAACTTGTTCTGAATCCTTTTAATGAAATGAACAAGGATCCCTGTAGCTTGGCGGAGATGCTCCTCACTGTCCCAGTCTCCTTCCTTTTGGTGATATCTAATATCCACCTGCATGTTTATGGAAATAAAAAAGCGGTAAATCTCTCTTTGTGAAGCATTTGGTAAGATTTATTTAGCATGTTAGATCTAAATTTGTCGACCTGCATGAGTCCCCAGCCGTTACCGTGATCCCCCCATCCGTTACGCAGGACGTTTCCAGCTCTGGACTCTCTGGAGATGATGGCAGCAATAAGGGCCGGATCAATACCGCACTGACTTCCCAAACTGTTGATTTTTGATTTGTACTTATTCATTCTTCCAGAATCCATTTGGGCCATTTTTTCTGATGCCTCCACACCTGTTTGGAGAAATTACAGCCACATGAGTTTGTCGTTTTTCAGCCCAGCAGATTAACATTTTCAGTTCAGTCAGCTGTTTATCTTCAGTATCTACCAGAGTAACCCAGTCTATCCTGCTGAGAAGTCTTCTCAGAAGCACCTGAGGCAGAAACTCTAGTGATGTCTCCATAACCTGTAAACATATCGGCATTTATATAAAGTGCATGAAATAGACACATTTTACATAATATCAAATGCTTTTTTTTCACCACATGTCCAGCTGGACTGGCTGAAATAATACTTGGTTTTTGCCTGCTTAGTAAAATATTTTAGGTTTAAGGACGAAAAAATAAAAAATTCTCTTACTTTTAAGTCTGACATCAGCATTTGATGTCAGCGTTTGTACGATACGTCATGTAAACAATAAAATACTCACTCATCGTTGCAGTTTCTCTTGCTGATTCTAAGCAGAAGTGGAAGATCTGTTCCCTGTTCTGTGCTTTCACACTCTGTGCCAACTGTTTGCAGAGGAAGGAGACGCACCCAAAGGAAAAAAATTCCCAAGAGCCACGGCCAATTAGACGAGATTAACCTATTTCCTTCAACGTTGTCATTTTTTAAAAAAAATATCGCTAGCTTCATTATTTTGTGTCAGAGAGTCATTTATTTATTGAGCTATAAAGTGTGATGAGTAGGACGGCCTGACCGTTTGTGGTCCACTGATCTGATGCTTTAAAAGTAACGACACCGACCAAATGTTGTCTTTTATTACATTTATTTCATTTTTCTCCATTTTACACAAACTTATTCTGCCCTTTTTGATAAATGCAGGACACACTGCACAGAACATTAATTTCTCCTTAGGCTACAGATTGACTCAGACAAGTAAAAACCTGTCAGACCAGACGGTGTAGTACAGAAGCGTATTATTATCATGGAGGGAAATAAGCTTTTAAACACCATTACATATTGTTCAAACATAAAAATTACCTTTCATAAACATACTGATACTTTTATCATATGATGTGCTAATTAAATTGCACAAACATGATGATTACATCATAATTTTATCCAGAAAGTGGCGGTAGTATGCCTTTAGTCCAGAGATGTCAAACTCATTTTTCCTTTGGGCCATATCAGGATTATGAATGTCCCCAAAGGGCTGGTTGTGGTAAAATGCATTGATAAAATTCATTAATAAACCTCTAAAATATAACTAAACAGCAGCCTCTGCATTCGACGAGTACTTCTTAAAGTTAAGTAATACCAAACATCATTACATTGATCTAATTTGGTGGAGTTCATATGAAAACCACATAAAACAACTGTGGCCAGAGGGAAAATGAACGAATTCTGGTTTTAATCTTCTGAGGTAAAAAGTCAGAATTCTGAGAATTTTGACTTTTTTTCTCGAGTCTGTCTTTTTCCCCATAATTTTTACTTTTTGCTCAGAACTTTGACTTTTTAATTCTCATTTCTCATATATTTTTTCAGAATTCTGTCTTTTTCTTCAGAATTTTGTCCAAAAAATACACTTTTTCTCAGAATTCTGACCTTTTATTCCTCAATTATTTTTTTTTACCCTAGAATTTTAACTTTTTAATCTTATAAGATTAAAATCAGAACAATTCTGGTAAATTCAGAGAAAAAATTCAGAATTTTTTTTTCCCGTGGCCCTAATACTCTTCCGTTGAAAAACTGCTTTCATTTAATTTATAAAATATTATTTAGGCATACAATGATTATTTTCAAGGATCTATTTACACATCCCTCTGGGCCACAACAAGCTTCCTGGTGAGCCAGATTTAGCCCCCGGGCCTTGAGTTGGACACGTGTGCTTTAGTCCATACATAATGAAGGCTAGTAGAGAATGGTTAAGTTTCTCTTCCTGTTTGGTCTAAGACATGGAGAGATGCTGATGCTGCTGCGCACTGTGGATGAAAATGTATCAGATTCTCACTGAGGAGGATTTTAAACAAAATAAGGCAGAAAAAGTCCATTTCAAACTTCTAGATTTGGTTTCGGTCGTCATTAAGCAGCTTTGTTGTAAATGCAACCTGAAGGCATATTACCACCACTATCACATGAAATTATCACATTTTACAATAAAACATTTGTATTATATAGTTACCATGTTATTAAGTGACAGTGCTCAAAAACCTATGTTCCTCTGTGACAGCAATATGCTTCTGTATTATAATAATCAAAAACTGTTGCATGAATAAACATGTTAAAATTTTGAGTTTGCATGGAAGTATCTTTTCTTTATAGCAGGACAAACACTGATTTATCAGGTGCTGAATTTAATAACCATATCTTTTGTACCATTTGGCTCTGGCAACAACATCATTGGAGTAATCTTTGCCAGTTGTGATGGCATCCAAATTTTCATATGAATGGACATTTCCGTCCCCCATGTTGTAGGCCGCTATCCCTCCTGCAGAGAAAAAAATAAGCCATAATAATCAAAAAATACAACGTCTGTAGCTCTTTTCAAATAACAGTATTTCGCTCTAGAGTTTTCTCTTCTTTAGGTTACCTCTAGTCAATTTTAAACCACTGACCTTTTATATGTAGATTATGCATTTCCTCCAGGATTTCATTATTCATTTTTGGGGAATTTTTTGGTGCTACTTTAGAAATATTTGGTTGCAATATTCTTTCCTCATTAAACTGCTTCCTAAAACTAGACATAGAAGTCATTAGGACTTTTTACAACAAATTTGTGCTATGTGGACACATAACAAGCTTCTCCTTAACCTTTTACATATAAACAACTTTAAGCAGTTAATTAAGCACAGTTTGTCTCCATGAGTCCAAACATAAAGAAAACAAACACAGTTGAAAATAATGACGCACTGCTTCCACCTTCTCCCTAATCTGTTTGCGACCACTGCATGCTGCATAAACATCTGGTTTTTACCTATTATTTATGTCCTTAGAAGCTGCTTTTCTTGACAGAAGTGCACACACACACACACACGCACGCACACACACACACACACACACACACACACACACAAGCATGGTGTGTAGAAGGCATTCATGCACACACCAATTGTCTGACTTTCCCCACAAAGCAACTGGGTGGAGACAGGAAACACAATCACCTCTAAATTCTCTGCAAGGAATGAACTCTGTTGATTCCTCTGCTATTAATTGTTTATTATCCCTCCAGCAGTTTTAAGCATTGGGGTCATTTGGGCCTCTTAAGTTTTTTACTCTGTGCCCTGTCTGGTGAGGTCGTACTAATCCCACGTTAGCTTTTCCATATTCGTGTGTGGTTTTGGGAACTGACGGTCTGAGGGTAAACCCAGAACTCTCTCTTTCCGCTTCCCCGCTGTTGGACTGTGACATTTTCTGAGCTCCTTCTGAGCATCTTGCTAAAACCGCAGGAGGATTAAAACTAGATCTGATCTGCAGCAGCAACCACGTTCAATATAACCACAACAAATGATTTGCACCTCAGCGAAACTATAAACCTTAAATGACATTCTTCACGTCTGAATACTTGAAGACATCTGGCACACAAAGAGACTCGCCAAACATGAAGAGCAATCTTCAGTCTCTTCTCACAGGTCACAAAGACAGTTGGACGAAATCTCAGACAAAATGCTGAAGATTAAACAAACCTTTCAGCTGCTGCTCTCTGCTCCAGTTTGGGAACTTGTTCTGAATCCTTTTAATGAAATGAACAAGGATCCCTGTAGCTTGGCGGAGATGCTCCTCACTGTCCCAGTCTCCTTCCTTTTGGTGATATCTAATATCCACCTGCATGTTTATGGAAATAAAAAAAGAGGTAAATCTCTCTTTGTGAAGCATTTGGTAAAATTTAGCATGTTGGAACTAAATTTGTCGACCTGCATGAGTCCCCAGGCGTTACCGTGATCCCCCCATCCGTCATCTAGGGCATTTCCAGCTCTGGACTCTCTGGAGATGATGGCAGCAATAAGGGCCGGATCAATACCGCACTGACTTCCCACACTGTTGATTTTTGATTTGTACTTATTCATTCTTCCAGAATCCATTTGGGCCATTTTTTCTGATGCCTCCACACCTGTTTGGAGAAATTACAGCCACATGAGTTTGTTGTTTTTCAGCCCAGCAGATTAACATTTTCAGTTCAGTCAGCTGTTTATCTTCAGTATCTACCAGAGTAACCCAGTCTATCCTGCTGAGAAGTCTTCTCAGAAGCACCTGAGGCAGAAACTCTAGTGATGTCTCCATAACCTGTAGAAATATCAGCATTTACATAAAGAGCATGAAGGAGACAAATTTAAATGTTAAATCGTACATCAAATGCTATCTTAAACCACATTTTGTGCAAGCTCTGTCTGAAATAATGTTTATTTTTTACGTAACTAATAAAATATTTTATATCTAAGGAGAAAAAAATGAAGACTTCTGTTTCTTTGAAATGTTACAGCAGCATTTGGTCAGACAATATACATCATATAAACAATAAAATACTCACTCATTGTTGCAGTTTCTCTTGCCGATGCTCACTCGGAGCTGAAGTGGAAGATCTGTTCCCTGTTCTGGGGTGCAAACGCACTGGGTGCAAGACAATATTTTATACCTTTTTTACTGTCGTCTGTGCTATCACACACAGGAAATTGTGCATGAAACGTCCCATTCTGTCCGTTAGAGTGTTTGAATGCATTTTGAATACAGGAAACCAGACTTTTACCACAGTAGCATTTGTCGCCACGAGTGATAATGCTCGCTCATTTGCAGCACATCATTTGGTGTATGGAGGCAGAACATGTAGATGAATGTTGTGATGAAAATAAAGTCTTAAAATACAAACATTCAGTGTTTTTCAGTCATCTGGGATGCTTTCTGTTCTCTGGTGAGGATTATTATGGTGTTGAATGGAGCTTGGAAATGTAGAGATTTTAATAATGAATACATGAAGGAACGTATGTAATCCCTCACAAGAAAACCAGGGCAGTTACAGAGTTACTGTAAATGTCGTGTCTTAGGGCACATTTACAAGAAGAGGAGGCAAGAATCCACTGAGGTGTACCTACGATGAAGAGTTTCAAGTTGTTGTTTTTATTTTTAATAGATGCAGTAAGTAGGGATACAACTTAAAACAGGGAATCAGTTTTATTGTGATGAATTTTGTTGGTTAGATAGAAAGTGAACCAGATCTCAAAAACTTTCTTTAATTCTTCTGTAAGTGACATTGCTTTAAAATCACATAGGGAACGTTTTGCCATCTCTGCTCCATTACTTGTTAAGAAAGAAAAGCATAATAATTTCTTAGTACTTCTGCTTAAAATCTGATATAAACCACATGGGTCTTAATTAATGCTCCTTCATTGGATAAATAAACCAATTCACATTAATCAAACTACATCCGCAATCAAATTAGATTTAGGAATCTTGTGATCAGCAATGGCTGCCATTTGTGTCATTCTCTAAAATGTTCCCAACTTCGTATTTCTGAAAACAAGGCATCTCCAGGACAGGCGGTGTAGTTCACCACCTGCCTGTGGCCTTGGATGGTGTAGTTTCCTGTCAGTCCTCCTCCATTCACAGCGCAGAGCGCCAGGTGGTTACGCAGCAGGTCCATGGCGTGGCGAGACGGCAGTGTGGCCGTGTAGTTTCCGATGATTGACACGCCATAGCCCAAGGCGTTGTGTCCCCTGGTGTGTCTGCCCACGTGGCTCCAACCCCGTCCTTCATAGATGTAACCGTCAGATCCAACCACGAAGCTTATAGTAGATAATAGATAATTTAATATATCAGAAATCATAACATGACTTATGAAACGTTTTAGCAGCTGGTTCCCATACACTGTAAAACATCTGAGCTGCATTTAGTAGTTGTGTCGACTGTCTTCTACTCTTTAAGTCAAATAAATTTAGACAGTTTTATATTTTGAACCTAAATGTGAGTTTGAGAAAGATAAACTTACAGTAGTAAGTTGTTAACTTTTTATTAGAATAGAATAGAGTTTTTAGGTTAGCACTTAAAAAACTGAAGGAAGAAAAAGACAGAAGTGGGAACTATTTCCCAGAATGCTTAGCGGCTTGTGTCTGTATCCTGAGATGGAAGTGCGTCACACTGATCCGACTCTGGTGTTTTAAGGAAAATGTTCATTTTAAAGCTTGACGATAATGTCCTGTTCACACTAAATGTTTCTGAGCTGAATTCATTGTGATGTTTAATAAAATTCATTAATTCATGCAATTTGAAAAAATAAAACAGCCTCATGACTATCAGAACTATTCAACTTTGTGAACCCTCACAACAAACTTTGTCAAAGAAAAAACAACATATGATCATATTTGTAATTCAATAGTATAGGTTTCAATCTTCATATTCTGCAACAAAGCGAAACTTTCAGAACCTGATTACCTATATCCAATGTCATTCCAGCCACGATCTTCTTGGTGAAAACGCTGCATGGACCTCATGTTACGGGAGCAGCTTGAGAAGGACAAACAAGGCCGTGAAGGCTCGTATGTATGGTGAACATATAGAAACCTGAGTGGAAGTGAGAGTGGAATCGGTGTATCCCGTGAAGCTTTCGCCCCCCACTGGCAGCGAGGGATGATCTGAGGGCAATCTGCATTCAGGAGGACACAGTTAATTAGTTCCTATCTCAGAACACTATCATTTATATATATATATATATATATATATATATATATATATATATATATATATATATATATATATATATATATATATATATGTCAGTTCATTGTATTGCCAAAGTATTCTTGTCCTTTCAACAAAATAAAAACTGCATTTTTCTGGCATTACATGTTGTAGAACAGAATATTTTATTGTAAAACAAAAGGAAAACTAAATATTTTTTACAACATTTCTCAAATGAAATCTAGAAAGTGTGGCCTGCAAATATATTGCTCAAAAAAATAAAGGGAACATTTCACTTTAATTTTGTGTGTGGCTCCAAATCCAGGCCTCCATTGGTTAATAGATTTGATTTCCATTGATGATTTTTGTGTGATTTTGTTGTCAGCACATTCAACTTTGTACAGAACAAAGTATTCAATGAGAATATTTCATTCATTCAGATCTAGGATGTGTTATTTGAGTGTTCCCTTTATTTTTTTGAGCAGTGTATATTTTTGCTGGTGTTCTTGGCCAGACCAATATTTCTTCCCTATTCTTCTTTTCTTTTTGAGGGTTTTTGCTATTTTTTTGTCTAACAATAACATGCATGTATAAAGACTTAAACAACAATCAGAGGTGACACAGCTTCTCAGGAAACCGTGGCAAATCTGTCAAACGATTTACCGAAGCACATCAGACAGGCATCATCGGTTGTTATTTCTAAATCTCACTTAAAAATACATTTCTGCTCTTCAAAACAAAATGAGACTTTGTTTATAATTGTTTTATTTCTTTGGTAAATTTATAACTTTTCATCTTGAGGATTTGAACCAACACTCTGCCTTCTTTTAATCCTACATTTTTTGGCAGCACATTAATCAACATTCTTCAAATGTTAAAGTTGTTCTTGCTATGCTACAGTTTGCTATGCTATGCTGTGTGGTATGGTTTGATATGCTAATTTAATCTTTGCTATGCTATGGTGTCCTATGCTATACTTGGTGTGCTATGCTATGATTTGCTATAGTTTGATATGCTAAGACAGGGGTCACCAACTCCAGTCCTCCAGTCCTACCATCCTGTAACTTTTAGATGCGTCTCTGCTCAAACACACCTGGATCAAATAAACTGCTCGTTTCCAGCCTATTGCAGAGAGGAATGAATGCTGGTGAGGGAACTCAGACATTTTGGAGCAGAGGTTAATCTAAAAGTTGCAGGATGGTAGCCCTTGAGGACTGGAGTTGGTGACCCCTGTGCTAAGCTATGCTATGCTATGCTATGCTATGCTATGCTATGCTATGCTAGGTGGTATTGCTGAGTATTTAGCTAATTCATAATTTCTTCATACTCTGACCCGCTTCTTTGCCTCTGCAAAAGACAAGGATCCCTACAGCATGATGCTGCCACTACAATAGTTCTCTGTGGTGTGTTCAGACTTAATTGAAATCCATGCACTTTGTTGTGTTGATCTACCACATAAAATCCCAATAAAAATACATTGAAGGTTGTTTGTAGCATAAGAAACTTGCTACAAATGTTTTAAAAAGTTCAAGGAAATGTAAACCTTTTTGTAAGTTGCACTTTAGCCTCTTTACTAAATATATCACAGTGTCACCAGCTGACGTCAAAATCTAAAGTAAACAAAAGTACAGTTTGTCTAGTAAGCACAAGTAAAAGCGGAGTTTGAAGCCTTACCTTTCCAAAACAGTTTTTACTTGCAGCCTTATTTTATGCCTAAATACATCTGACATGATAACATTACTCACCCAGGTATCTGTGCATAAATGTTTTTAATCCATCCTGCACCGCGTTTCCCAGACCAGAGTCCAGAGCAATCCATTCTGTCTTCTCCAGCTTCCAGACCAATGTTAGTGTCGTCATCACTTCAGCGTGAAGATCAAGTGACTCCAGAAGTTGCCTTGAAAGTTGCCTCCTCTTTGGGCTGATGTAGCTTGTCACAGCATCAATGCCTTGTTTCTCAGTCAGAGTGAAATTATAGTATCCTCTTAAGATCTCACTGAGGGCCTGAGGCTGCTCAGTCGCTGGTAACTTGCTGAGGTGATTGCCCAGTATAACTCCATCCATGCCACCGTTTATAACAGCATCTGTGGCTAGAGTGGCAGGCCGAGATAACTTAAACACCTTTGGCTGCTCCACATTGTCCCAGCACCCGTTGGGACCCAGACGCATGGACGGTGGGATGTCCTGGAGGCTTAGCAACGACAGGCCCAACGTCCGACCGAGGGACAGAGGAAAGATACCAACAGCTTCTGTTCCCTCCATCTTGGCTTTCAGTCCTGATTCAATCCCTAATAGTAGGGGTGCAAGAGCAACCGTGGTGCCGTCCGGAGCGAGGACCACTCCGCGCTCCTCACCGTGGTCAGTCACAATGTGGTGGATGGCCTTATCAAAAAAGCTGAAGGATGTTGCATTTAGGATCGATCCCTCCAAACCCTCTGTGTCACTGAGATTGTGCGACGCGCCTAAGAAATGGACGGTCATCAGATCGTCATGGCCAGCCGTCCTCCGCAAAGCCCTAGCCAGAGCCAGGGGCGACAGGCCAGGGTTGGAGTCTTCAACCTGCTGCACAGCTTGGATGAAGCTCTCCATGTTACGCAAGTGGACACCTGAAAGAAATATGGCGGATATTTATTATAGATCTGTAAAGTCATTGATCCAGAAACCCACTCACTTTATGGACGTTCACTTGTGGGATTTGAGATTGGATCTTAATTATGAGCCTTAAACTGAAATGAATGTTGGACTCAATGAAAAACTGCCCTGAACAGGTTAGGATAGGTCTATAGACAAATCCAAATTTTTTGGCACAAACTCATTCTTAGACAATAAGATTTTAGTCTGGTGAGTTCTGCCTATTTTGAGCTATTTTAGGACATTTTGTCACTTTAAATCCAGTTAATCTGCTTCTGGCCACGCCCCCCAACTCTATGTTTACACTTGCTTCTGAAAATAGCAGCAAACAGATGTGCAGTTATACAACCACACATCTTTGAAAATCAGAAGTGGAGCCTCCTGCAAGTGTTTTGTCAACTATAAAACACCAGCAGACATTGTACAGCATATGCAAGAGGTAAAACCAGCTGACCAAATGTGCTGGAGATCCGGTTGGGTTGCTAAGGTGAAGGGCTGGGTTGGGTTTCCTAGGTAACGGTGTATGAACTTA